AAAAAACAGAATTGTAGGAAATTTAATTTTAAACAACCTTGTTTATAACAATTTTTCTCGTAAAATTAAAAATAAACGAGTTATTCTATAACCAAAAATTCACCCCCTCTTTTCGGGTATAAATCGAAAAAAATCGATCGTACAAAAAAAACAGAATTGTAGGAAATTTAATTTTAAACAACTTTGTTTATAACAATTTTTCTCGTAAAATTAAAAATAAACGAGTTATTCTATAACCAAAAATTCACCCCCTCTTTTCGGGTATAAATCGAAAAAAATCGATCGTACAAAAAAAAGCAGAATTGTAGGAAATTTAATTTTAAATAACTTTTGTAAAAACTATTTTCCGTGTAAAATTGAAAATAAATGAGTTATTCAAGATACAAAAAATAACCCTTTAAATCAAGATGGCGGAGGTAACGACAACTTTGGAATCCCAACTTTTTGAATTTAGACTACCAGAGACCCCCTCCAACGAATTCCGAAGGAAAATTGCTACTTCGAATTTTTCAGAATCTAAAATACTAATCCGATTGGGCTATATGTGAAAATTTCAACATAAAGTCTTTTGAATATTCACATTCAAAGGTGGGTGGTGGGAAACGGGGGTGAAAGTTTTTTTAATAGTATCGATTTGTTAAAGGAGGAACTTGAAAATTCTAGTAGCTACTCATTATTGATAAATAATGACGTATTTCAGGGTTTTTGATTTTCGCATTTTAAGGGGAGAACGGAAGTATATATGGGAGTATCGTAAAAACAAATAAAAATAAATAAAAATAAATAAAAATAAATAAAAATAAATAAAAATAAATAAAAATAAATAAAAATAAATAAAAATAAATAAAAATAAATAAAAATAAATAAAAATAAATAAATAAAAATAAATAAAAATAAATAAAAATAAATAAAAATAAATAAAAATAAATAAAAATAAATAAAAATAAATAAAAATAAATAAAAATAAATAAAAATAAATAAAAATAAATAAAAATAAATAAAAATAAATAAAAATAAATAAAAATAAATAAAAATAAATAAAAATAAATAAAAATAAATAAAAATAAATAAAAATAAATAAAAATAAATAAAAATAAATAAAAATAAATAAAAATAAATAAAAATAAATAAAAATAAATAAAAATAAATAAAAATAAATAAAAATAAATAAAAATAAATAAAAATAAATAAAAATAAATAAAAATAAATAAAAATAAATAAAAATAAATAAAAATAAATAAAAATAAATAAAAATAAATAAAAATAAATAAAAATAAATAAAAATAAATAAAAATAAATAAAAATAAATAAAAATAAATAAAAATAAATAAAAATAAATAAAAATAAATAAAAATAAACAAAAATAAATAAAAATAAATAAAAATAAATAAAAATAAATAAAAATAAATAAAAATAAATAAAAATAAATAAAAATAAATAAAAATAAATAAAAATAAATAAAAATAAATAAAAATAAATAAAAATAAATAAAAATAAATAAAAATAAATAAAAATAAATAAAAATAAATAAAAATAAATAAAAATAAATAAAAATAAATAAAAATAAATAAAAATAAATAAAAATAAATAAAAATAAATAAAAATAAATAAAAATAAATAAAAATAAATAAAAATAAATAAAAATAAATAAAAATAAATAAAAATAAATAAAAATAAATAAAAATAAATAAAAATAAATAAAAATAAATAAAAATAAATAAAAATAAATAAAAATAAATAAAAATAAATAAAAATAAATAAAAATAAATAAAAATAAATAAAAATAAATGAAAATAAATGAAAATAAATGAAAATAAATGAAAATAAATGAAAATAAATGAAAATAAATGAAAATAAATGAAAATAAATGAAAATAAATGAAAATAAATGAAAATAAATGAAAATAAATGAAAATAAATGAAAATAAATGAAAATAAATGAAAATAAATGAAAATAAATGAAAATAAATGAAAATAAATGAAAATAAATGAAAATAAATGAAAATAAATGAAAATAAATGAAAATAAATGAAAATAAATGAAAATAAATGAAAATAAATGAAAATAAATGAAAATAAATGAAAATAAATGAAAATAAATAAAAATAAATTAAATAAAAACAAATAAGTGGAACTTCTTACAGCTCATCCTGTCACGAAAAATAGGCACAATTTTATAAAAACGACATATCTCGATGTCCCGATACCTCGACAGCCTAAGGGAGGACTGATTTTCTTACGGACAGTTTTGTATGGCTTGTTAAAGAGTGAGTCAGTTTCGAAAGCAATCTGGTGATACTATCTATCACATACATACCATGAAAAAACATTATAGCCCTTTTTTAAGTAGTCATATTTTCTTATATTAAAAACGCGATTCCACGCTTGCAAAGCCGCGGCGAACAGCTAGTAATGTATACATTTAGCGACTTCTGAAATGCCATTATTCCGTTGATAATATTAACACATTAGGCATTTTGTTTTTATCTACGAAAACTACCTTGATAAATTGTTAACTAGAACAGTTTTTATGTGATAATTGAACCATAATTTCTTTTTTTAAGAATAATTGGGTAGATCCGAAGTGCTAAAGTCTATTCAAATTTAATTTACGCCTGATGTAAACAGAAGCAGGTGGACGCTAAAATTGAGCAGGGCCGTATTTTACTTTTCCGTCTTGCAAAAATGTAAAATAAAAGAGTGTAATTGTGAAATTATTTTTTTATTACGATAAAAACATATTTTGTAAACTAAAACTATAAAATAAATGCCATACACGGTCTCCCAGACTTTAGTGACATTTCTGGACGAAGATAGGTGAGCGAGATAAACTGCGTTAACCTGCAATACAAATTAATAAATGTATTTGACTTTAAAAGAGATGTTTGCATTATATTTAGTTCATTACATATGACTACTGTGATACAGAGCATTAAAACAATCATATTATAAAATTATATTGTACAGGGTGTCCAAATAATTGCAAATTCTTTAATAGCTAATATATATCTACTAAAAGCATTAAAAAAACTTTAAATATAAGAGGTATTTGATTTAAAATTGTGCATCTTAAAAAGAAACCTTTTGTATTTTTGATAACTTTTTTTCTATATTGTTCTTGTTCTACTAGTATTTAGATTAGACAACTTGTACCCTGTATTATAGCAATCTTTCTTACTTGACTTAGGATAAATCGGATAAATTAGTTAGACTTGAAAGGCTATCTTCATTAATCAAAATTACAAGTGGTTTTACCTGAACCTCTATAATATTATCCAACTCCCACATTTTTCCATTTTTCTGGAGAAATTAATATTATTACTTCTTCAAAAAGAATTTTAATGTCTCCAGATTTAAATGTTGAGTTTTTATCTGCTACGTATTGTTTAACGTCAACCTAGATTAATTCAATAGGGTTAAGTTCACAATGATACGGAGACATGTGAAGTATTATGTTGTTTTTCTGCTTAGCCATTTCATCTATTACATACCTATCATAATGTTTATGTTGCTTACCAAGTTTTAGAAGTTGGATCTTAAGCATTTGGTAGTCGAATTCAATTTTTTTCCCTTATAGCCATTTTTAAATATCACCTTTTTCAGACGTCGTAGATATTTTTTTCCAGCTTTCTCGAATAATAATGCAGTTATCTTCTATTTTGGTAGGGTGTTTGAAAACCACTCTTTGAACGATTCTCCACACATTTCTTCATGGTAGTCACTGGATTTTTCAACTCAAATACATAAAGTGCATTAGAGACAAAGCCTTCTTCACTTCCAATATGGCATATAATGAGCTGTTTTTACGCACATACCTGATGGGTTTTTAAAACCAGTTAAAAGTTCATCCAAAAAGGCTTGTCTGGATAAAAAAACCGACATATCGAAACATACTTTTGATTTGGTGTGGCCTGCGTTAATCCAAGTTTCATCAAGATAATATATTTTTTGCTTTTCTTCTCTGTACCGTTTTATTTTTTGTGGCGTAGGACGAAACAATTTCATTTTTGTCTAAAAGCAAACTATTTTTTCCTCGAGTTTTAAATTTAAAATTAAGGGTTCTGAAAAGCTTGTAAAATGTAGCTCGCTTAAAAGTAGACAAATATGCATCATCGTTGACTTCTTATAAAACCTTATCAATTGTTGGAAGTTAATTTCTAAAGAAGAATTGATGTACTTTGCGCCTTATTGCATTTTTATCAAAATCATCCACAGAGCCACTAATTTGTTTATAACGTAGCTTTCTTTTTGGTTCAGAAAATTTATGAATCTGCCTATACTCCTTCATAACATTAAAAACGGTTTTAGCGCACATCCCTGTTTTATCAGCAACTCTCCTTTCAACATCATGTACCAACATATCAGGGTTCTATAAAATTTAATGCTTATAAATATTAAGAACCATTTCTTTAGTACGGATGACCAAATGTCCCTTTTTCAGTCGCTTTTTAGAAGGAGTAAAAACATTTTTCTGGACTTCATCTTCTGTATCTGAGGAGGACATAGTGTCACGCAGCAATTAGAAAATATAGTCAATTAAATGTCCATAAAATAGAGTAAAACATGTTCAAACTAACAACAACCACAAAAACAAAAAAAATAAATAACACAATATATGTATATCTAAACTATAATATAATGAATTATAATCAATCAAATATACAAAATGTCCAAACTAACCAACACGGTGAATGCTACCAAAACGCCGTTTATAATTATCCAAATTGAACTGAATTCGACTCTGACAAAAAATATTTGCGCGTCGGCTAAATGTCTAACGACCGATTAACCAATAGAAGCCCAAAAAAATGTCACGTGAGCTGTTGCTGGACGGGAGAAATTGTTTTGACGCGGCGTAAATGAAATCTGAATAGACTTTAGTTACAATGTACGCCTTTATTAAAAGATAGTTTGTTGATGCGGGCATTTATTGGTTAGGTGGTTCTGCAAATAATCCAGAATTCTATTAAAAAAATAATTAATCAGTAATTTATTGTTACAGGTTCTTCAGGAGCAGCTAAACAATGTATCTACTATAGAGATTGGACTGAGAGATAGATTAAATAAATTTAAAGAAGAAAATGAAGACTTGCGATTTCAGGTAAGTGTTGGTATTACGAATATTCTGAACAATCTATAAAACTTAGATTATATAACAACGTTTTCTTTTGCTTCATCACGTTTGGAACTATGAGAAACATTGTCGCAAAAAGTCTGTACCAGGCAGAAAAAATGTATTGTTGATATCTCAAAAAAAATTATTCTTGATAGAAGTTGGTGCAACTTTTAGGGTCGCTTATAAAAATTGGTTTTTTTAAAAAATGACAAAAACTTTATAAAAAACGGAACTTTATTTTATGTCTTAACAATATAAAAGTTAAAATGTAAAAGCTTGAAAATGCCGGCAATCCTATTTTAGGATGTAGATTACGCTGTTAAAATATGTCTACTTTCGGGATACCCTGTATATTAAACTAAAAAATATATATATATTAAATGTTTAAAATAAAAGGAGATCAAAATTTCTTACGCAATTCCTAGGATTATTTCGTCATATCAACGGGGTCAAGGGATGATGTCTGTTCTCCCTAATTTTCTTAAAACTTATTGGATTTGGCGATGTGGTCCCCGTCCAGATTCTACATACTTCGGGAATACTGGCCCTATCCCTGGATGTACACTCTTTGCTCAGTTTATTTCACCAATTTTTGCGATTTCGATTTGCCGTTAAACTATTAAAATAGACCGATTTGACACGATTTTTGTTGTCACACCTTTAGACAATCCTACTGACTGCTCCACTTTTAGGTTCGCTGATAAAAATTGCTTCTTTAAAAATGACAAAAACAAAAAGCGGAACTTTATTTTATGTCTTAACAATATAAAAGTTAAAATATGAAAGCTTGAAAATGCCGGCAACGAACTAGTTTTGTTGCCGCTAGATCTTGGTGGGCCTTATCTTCATAAATAATTTATAAAAAAAATTTGTGCCATATACGACAAAGGTGAAAAAATATGAATTTGGATCAAGAATTAAACGTTTTTGCGATATACTTTATGTGTCACAGCTCTAACTACTCATTCTATACAGGGTGGCTCACGCTCAACGGGACGGAGCCTTATGGGAAAACGACCAAAGATATTTAACAAATTCGTTTGGGAGGAATACGTAGGTTACAGACGGCTACAATTTAAAAATTTTTAGATGTATACAGGATGTCCCACATAAGAGAAAATATACAAAGTTATATTATTTTTATTGGAACACCCTGTTTTTTATTTTAGAATTAAAAACTACATCAAAAATAATGTCAGTTAACTAAAGGTTCCCTATTACTATTATTAGTTTTCGATTTATTTGAATTTTTAAGGAAAAAAAGTCTCCAAGAAATTAATTGTTTACTCTTGTTTGAATAATTTTTAATGAACTAATTTTTTTCAATTATGTGGGACATCCTGTATACATCTAACAAATTTTAAATTGTAGCCGTCTGTAACCTACGTATTCCTCCCAAACGAATTTTTTATATCTTTGGTCGTTTTCCCATAAAGCTCCGTCCCGTTGAGCGTGAGCCACCCTGTATATTTAGCAATATTTAGTATGTAGTGAAATATGTCAAACTTTCATAGCCAAGTTTAATTTTACAAAAAAGTGTGAACAGCATAGATAACTGATAATCATTTTCGAAAAATTTGATTGAATTTTATCTGCCCCGAAAATAATTAATCTTCAGACCTTATACATTGCATACTTATAACGTTTGGTCAAAACAATAAATAATTGACATACTAACACTATAATTGAAAATAATATAGCTCAATTAAGATAATGATAACTTGTTTTAGAGCATTGTTTAACAATAAAGATTGCCAATTAAGCTATCACTTTTATTTAATTGGTAATGATTTGTATATTTATTTAACAAATTATAGTTTGTCATTTCTTTATAAATGTTCATCCACATGAAAACAAAAATTTAATTTTAATTATTACATTGTGACTTTGATAAAAAAAAATCAGTCTACATACCGGCTTCTTGATATCCAATCGATTGATTGGATTACTACATGGATTTGTTAGATCTCTTTTAACAAAATTCAATTAGGTTTAGGAGACAGTTCAAGTCGTGCGTGTTGAATTTCTTACGTTACAACTTTTTTTAAATCTAATATGGTGTTTCACATGAAGTAATAAATCCTTCAATTTTAATTTATTTAGTTTTATATAGATAATTCGTGAGCTGGCAGTAAAAACAACTACCTCATAAGTTTGAATTAATATGTAGGTACTACTTTTGGTTGTAATTTTAAAACCGTCCATCTGCCGGATGGGCAAAGGGGGGCAATTTTTAAGTTGCCAAAAAAAAATTATGCAATAGCAACTTCTGTCAAACAATTATTGGGGCATAAGTTTAACTGATAATAATAAATTGTATCGAGGGTTCACAGGCAATACTAAATAAGTCGCCAAAAATAGAAAAATTACTTTTATATAGGTATCATTACTTACTTTATAGATGATGAATTTGCAACTACGTAATTTACTAATGAAATCGTCTGGATGTCTTCCTTCTATACTCTATTTTTATGTATAAGAGAGTAATAAAACAGCATTTCTAATGCAAAACTAAACGGTCATTTTAAATATGTTTACAGAATAATCTAAATATTTCCTAAAATTGTAATAAATGTACCTGAGCTATTACAAGTTTTGGGTCTTTTATTGGTCCTTTATAAACATAAGCTGTACAGAACAATAGAAAAAGGTTTGGACAGGCCAAAAGCCCTGTGTCTTAAAGATTACATACCGTATCTTAAGATTATTTTCAATAAGTACCTATTTGCCAATTTTGTTTTATTTTAATTCCAAGAATTTCTTACAGTAATCGAATTATAAGTAGATAAATGCCTTCCCAACAAATTTCACCGAAAATGCGATTATAGGTTTTCCATTTAGTAAGGAGGTCCAAGTTGTGTATTCTTGACAGTTTACTAAGTGTCATTTGGTTGCAACTTGCAAGGTGCAGTGTGAATTCTAGTGTGATCATGGAAAATTTGGAAGGGCCGCGTAAACGACAAAAAATCGGTCCTTTAACAGTTTATGTAAAAGTGTTGATGACACAGTGGAATTAGTTAGTAGTACGCTTGGTGTTGGGAAATCTACGATTTACAGAGTTGTTAAAGAAGAGAAATGTGGCGAGTTTCAAATAGCACGTAAAGCTCCAGGAAAACCAAAATTTCAATTAGAAAATCTTTTGAAAGAAAGACTTCGAAGGAAAGTGCATGCGTTCTTCTTTAGAAAAGAATTTCCGACAGTAGACAAAGTTCTTGCCACGGTTCGAGATGATAAGGATTACCCTGAAATGAGTCGAAGCACACTGTGGAAACTTTTAAAAGAAATAGGTTTTCTATGGAAAAAGCATTCCAGAAAGTCTATTTTAATAGAAAGAAGCGATATTGTAGTATGGAGAAGAAATTACCTGAGGACTATAAAAGAAATGAGAAACCAAAGAAGAAATATATTTTATTTAGATGAAACATGGATCAACGAGGGACATAAACCAAATAAATTTTGGCCAGATGAAACTGTTACAAGTCGAAGACAGGCTTTTTTAAATAATTTATCTACTGGTTTAAATCCACCATCAGGAAAGGGGCGCAGACTAATAATAGTACACATCGGTAGTTCAAACGGTTTTGTTAAAGGTGGTTTATTGACTTTTGAATCTACTCGAACCGGTGACTACCATGAGGACATGAATGCTGATGTCTTTAAAGAGTGGTTCGAACAAATTATAGATCTTCTTCCTCAGAACTGTATAATAGTAATGGATAATGCAAGTTATCACTCGAGACTTATAGAAAAAATGCCCACAACCAAGTGGTTAAAAAAAGATTTACAGAATTGGCTAAATTCAAAGAATATTAAGTTCCATCCCGGTTCTGTGAGAAAAGAACTGTATCATTTGTGTTCCCTTCATAAAGAGAAATTAAAAAAATATGAAATTGATGAAATTGCAAAAAATCGTGGGATGACGGTGGTTAGATCACCACCATATCATTGCGAAGTAAACCCGATTGAACTGATATGGTCACAGATAAAGGGAAAAGTTTCAAGAAAAAATAATTCTTTTAAAATGAGTGATGTTAAACAGTTGTTTTTGGAGGCTGTAAATAATGTGAAGCCTGAAAACTGGGAAAAGGCAGTAAATCATACGATTAAAGAAGAAGAGAAAATGTGGAAAATGGACAATATTACTGATGAAATGATCGAGCCACTCATTGTAAATATTAGTTGCGACAGTTCATCTTCTGATTTCGATTCTGATTTGGATTTGTAGGTAAGAAGTAGTTTTTATATTAAAATTATTATTTATACGTAACGTTTTTTAAAAGTCAAAGTTTAAACCCTTATACCTACATAACCCGTTTGACACAATGTTCTTAACATACCTTGTGGAAAAATAAAACATTTTAGAAAAAATTGCACTTTTTTTTACCTTCAGCTGTTTAGAAGTTATAAGCAGGTTAATTAGGTGAAAATATAAGTGTATACTCGAGGAATAACTTCAAAAAATATTTTAACGGTCTACTAAAAGAAGTGGATTACGAACGCTTTATTATTTTAATACTCTCTCATACATAAAAATAGACTATAAAATTAGTGAACATATAATGGAAGAAATGGAATCCGAGGTGAAACCACCATCAACCCAAAACACTGAATACGAGGATGTGTTTGATTTTCTAATATCATTAATAAATAGAAGTAAACAGATTATAGATAAATTGTGGAATGGAGTGTACAATGAAATTAATTGTGCAATACCACTGAAGGACTTGCCGTCCAAATGTAAAAATCTGAGGGATAGATACATAAGTTTAAGGCAAGATATTTTAAAGAAGCCTGCATCTGGAAGTAGTGTGGTTTCTAAAAAACCTAAATGGAAGTACTAAGTTTTATAGGTGCACGCTCGTTTACCCTATTTCTAAAAAAACTAGTACAGTAGTACCTGCACCTGCTTCTAATGACAACACAATTGTTGAACAACCTGTAACACCATCTATTAGTTGTGGAGGTATTGAAGAACCTATAGTTTCTATTAGCTGGACACCAAAAAAGAAAGTAAAAGGACAAAAAGGTAATAGGGCTTTTGAAGGAGCTGAAATAGCTGGATTAAACAAAAATGAAGATGATACTGATCATTTCTGTAAGGGAATTCCCGAATTATTAAAAACACTTGATGCAAAAACAAATCAGTTTAATGCAGTTAATAATGGCTAAAAAGTTTAATGATAAGAATTGAAGATGTGGGCAGAGAGAGCCTATTCATGTTTCAACTTATTGAGAATCGTACTTTTTCGTTAATTTTGAAAATGTTTTTGTATTTTGGTTACTTTTAAGAAATAAACTATTTTGTCAACATTTTATTTATTCTTTATGTTTTAAATATTACAAGATTATTAAAAAATATATAATTTAAACAAAATAATAACTTATATCATATGATTTTAGTAAAGTTGCTAGCAGTTGTGATTGTTGTAGCATCTAGCAGTTGTCTTCTCCTTTTAAAATTATGTTTGTGAGACATCAATATTAAAGTAAATTACTTGACTGTAAAAGAAAAGAACTGCCACATTACCGATAATTACAATCGGCTCTACAAAAAACATACCCTATTTCAAACAATTCAACTTTAAACAATTCAATTTTAAACAATTCATATTTTATCCCACTGCCAATCAACAGCACCTTCATACTAAGTTAAATAAAAAGCACAAGTTATAAAAGTAATTTTAAAAAACCGACTTCAAAATCGTGCAGATGCTTTCACCACATCTTGATCCCTTTACTAATCAAAAAAGAATCATAGACATAGGACAAGGTAGTAAAGAATTATTGCTAGATATACTGTCATGGAAATGCCTAAGCCATCCCTGTATAACGCGACCTTCATCCTGCCACTCGACTCATGGTCGAAACACCGCTGACGTATAGAGACAAACTCTCCGCGTCTTGAAACTACCACAACAAGCGGTATGTGCAGTTGAGTCATAGAGATGGAATTCTAGGACATTCCACATCGTCTAGAAGCTTCTTGTACAGAATTGGACTTGGTATAAATAGCGCGACATATCGACGGACGAGTAGTTTGGAATAAAGTATTGGACTGAAAAGATAAATTAGAATTATGAATTAGTGCCTAAGTATTATATAAATTAATTACTACGTCATAAATTGTAAATAGTGTGTTTTAAATAAATAAACTATAAATAAATTAAACTATCGTTACAATACTTTGAGGATTTTCTAATGGACCCTGTTGGAAAATAACTAACATTATTCTCCGCCAGAATACATCAATTATTTTACTCCTCTTTCCCCTACGCCGCTAGTCACCGAATTTAAATGTATCCAGCACTGACTCAAGTGGCCCTAGAACGTTGCCAGAACATTGGAGTTATGCTCAAGTGGTTCGAGGTATTCGAGCTCGTGAATTTTGCTTCCCTTGCCAACACGTAGAATTTTGGCGATTGAGTTATCGTCAGTTAATGCCAGTACTTTTCAAAGTGCTCCTAGAACATCTTCCAAAAATTGGGTGAAGCCCGATTATCCCAACCCCCAACTTTAGAGTTTGCCACCTTTGTTCTGCTGAGGCAGGCCATTGGAATTCAATCCCTCTGATAAGACGTCACATTCCACCAAGTGAATTGGTGTGGCTATCATACAATATTTGCGACTATGACTTAGAGTCTGCTGATAAACTCAGTTCTGCTATTAGCATTACCCAGGAACAACGACGGGGACGTTGCAGATACTATTCCCTTCGTGGTGCTTGTTTATAGTGAGTCCCTTCGCCTCTCACTTTTTTCCCTCTCAATCTTTGGGTGCTTGTTTATGAAGTCTGAAGGTTTGATTAAAACTCCTTCTAAACGCCTTTCTCTTATGCCCCTTGTTGGTATCCCTCTTCAAGTTCCAACAGTAATCTGCCAACATGTTAATGTCCCAGAAACCTTGGTAGCCTCTTTCCATCCCTTTTATATCTTGGTGGAATCTTTCACCTTGTTCTTCGCTAAAATGTCCGAGGTTTTATGGGAAATTTCCCAAATGCGAATCCAAGAAGTGGACCTTCAAGCTCATCAAATATACAATGATTTTATAAATCTGGAACGAGCCCTCCACCAATTCCATATAATTTAGGTCTTTAGTATTTCCAAGAAATTTCTGAAAAACCTTCACGAAGCTCTTCCATGCTTCTTTCTTATCTACCACCATCTTCTTCGGGAATTCTGTATCTTTAATAATTTCTCGTATTTGCGGCTCATTAAAAATCCCTTCTTTGATTTTAGCATCTGACAACTTTGGGAATTTCTGGTAAATATATTGGAAGGCTTCGCTACTTCTTTTCTTAAGAGCCTTGACGAATTGTTTTATCAACCCCAATTTAATATGGAGAGGAGGTAGTAAAATACTTTAGGATCCACTAATTTTACTTGGTATATGTTCTTCTGACCCACAACAAAATTGTCCCTTGTTGGCCAAACCTTCCTTTGGTAATGCTCATCACGAGCTCGACTGTCCCATTCACATAAAAAAACAAGGGTATTTTGTAAATTCACTCTGTTGTCCCAAAAGTATTGTTACCACCTTCAAATCCGTACATATTTTCCATTTGTACCTACTGTAACTGATTTTTTGGAGCAAATAGTCCATATTGCAGTAATTCTCACTCAATATCGTCGAGTAGGCTACTGGAATGGACGTTAGGTTATTGCCATTGTTCAACAAAACAGCTTTTAAACTCCTGTTGGATGAGTCAATAAAAAGGCGCCAATCGTCCGAATCATGTTTGACTTCAAATTCACCGAATAGACCTTCTATATCTTTGCAAAATACTAATGATTCATGTGGGTCATAATATTTTCGAAATGGCTCATCCCTATTTCTATAATACGTTCTTATCGTTCCTTTCTCTAAACAACCTTTCTCTTTCAAACGAGAAGCTAACAGATCGGATTGGTCCTTAGAAAGCTCCAAATCTCGAACCAAGTCATTAAGTTCCATTTGAATGAACTTTGAAGTTTGGAGCTGCTCATTTTTGCTGTCATGGTCCAAATCAATTGATCCTTTATTTTCTTCCGGTACCGACAAGGGAAAGAAAGTTTTTCCAACTTTTACTATATATTTTGACTATACTGGGAACTATACAAGCACTAATAAAATAGAGATACTGCATTCGAAACTGTCGGTATTCTTCGTTAACATGAAAGGAATGTTTTGAAGTGGAGTTGGGCCTTGCTTCCAACCCCTGCGCTTTTCTCACCGAACCTGACCCCACCGAACCTGACCCCACCGAACCTGACCCCACCGAACCTGACCCCACCGAACCTGATCCAACCTAACCTAACCGTAACGGAAGCTGACCTAACCTGACCAGACCCAACCTCGGCCAACCTAAGGTGAACCAAATCTAATCTCACACACCCGTCATCCAACTTAACCTTGCCGAACCGGAACCAACCCTAATCTCATTCAACATCACCGTAACCGAACCTGACTCAAACCTTATGGATCCCTAATTCAACCTCACTCAACCTAACCGTAACGGGAGTTAACCAAGACCACCCTCATCTCACCTAACTAAACCCAACCTAACCGAACCTCACCTAATCTAACTTCACGTAACCGTAACGGAAGCTGAACTCACCCAATCTAACCTAGTCTTAACCGCACCGAACCTAACATAAACCTTAGCCAACGTTAGCTGACCCCAACCATAACCTGACCTCACCAACTCTAAGCTCAATCGAGTTTCACCTGAATCAACCTAACTTCACTATCGTCGGGAATTTTGGGAGCGGGATTCCCGACAGTGGCCCATAGAACGTATTTCCGTTGTCGAGAATTCTACATCTTGAGTCAGCTATGGCGGGAGAAGTAGCTGATCGATTGGACCTTTTGGCAAGGTTCTATAGGTTCTCATCATCTTTATATTACTCTTTTTAACTTTCTGGAATTCTTTGTCGTGTCAATAACAATTAAAATCCGTTAATTGAAGTCATAACAATTTTTCCCTGGAATTTTTCATGTCTCCATCTGAAGCTGACCAAGTCCTTTCGCAAGCTGCATCGAAGAGTTGTGATAAAACTGACGCCCGAGTGATTCCGGGTCTGAAGCGGCACAAGTAAGAATCGTTTTTGTCTGCGGGAAAAAACTTCCAAAATATACTAAAATAATAGGCGCTAATCAATCATTTTCTCGCTATGTTCATCAATTAGCAATTATACCACGTATTTTGAATTCGATTTTTTTCGTTCCAGCTTGAAGATAGAACAATAGAATTGGAAGGCACGAGAGCGCGAATTCGTCTTCTAGAAGATCTCCAAAAGCCCCTCAACAAGAGCAGTTCCCCCGACATCATTCCCATGCTGGATTCGACCCCGCCCGGTCGACCTCCATCGAGAACGGAAATTTCAACGCCGAGCATGAAAGCCATGAGCCCCTTAATTTTGAACAGCATGAAAGCCATGAACCTGCAAACCGATCATTCGAGCAGTACCGAATCGGCACACGATCAAAGTACCGAGAAGGAGAAAAAGGACAGCGCCAAGACCAGAAGACCTAGCAAGATACCGCTGAAAAGTTATACGGCACCAAAACCACCTGGAGGTAAGTGAAAAAGCAATTTATTTTAGGTAAATCTAAATGCAGTACAGTTCAGATTCTCCATGGGACGAGAGTTGCAGGAGTAGAGGATAAAGAGGTAATTAAGGTATGTGTAAATGCATTTTTCTTCACTCTGCCACTTGCTTCTGGATAGTGAAGTTAAAATAGCATTATTTATGTAATAGTTTCTATTAAATACAAATCTAGGTACTCTTAAATAAAAAGTATACTAACAATGAAGTTGTGCCTCTTTAGTGTCACCATCTTTCTTTCAGAGTATAATCTCATTGCTGCTGCTGCTGCTGCTACTGCAGAAAAAAAATGGGATTCATCTTCATTCCAAGGTAGCACTTCTCCTATTTTAACTTTTTGGCACTATTTGGGTGATAGGTAATGAGGTTGAAGCTAGACTACAAACTAGCAGACAATCTTAAAGTTTCGATATTGTTATTCGGTAAAATATTTTGTTTGGGTGGACTTTAAAAAGTTTAGAAATAAATAAAAATTAGTGTATTTATTGAAAAAATTGATTAATTAATTTTGAATTGTTAGTTAAAACAAGATAATCTTACAGAAGCGGAGATAAAAGAAACACATTTACAATAAATATAATTTTAATACCAAATATTCATTAGGTTTTTGTTAATTAATTAAATAAAAAATTATGGCTAAACAATGATTCAAAATATATTTTTTTGGTCTTTTAAAGTCAGGTTTTTTGTCGTCAAACGATTATGAGACAAAGAGGCTGAAAAATACATTTAGCACGAGATGTCAAATACAATTTTCTTACCAACAATTCAGTACACTACTACTGATAAAATAAATAAAAACTTATTAAATAGCAAGACATCTAAATATAGTTTCCGCGGATAAATATTATTCTATCAAACTAACAAAAACAAACATTTAACACGAGATTCCAAATGTAATTTTTATACCAAAAATTCAATAAACAAGTATCATTAAAAAAAAAATCTAGGAAAATTACTCTATCAAAATATCAAAAACCAATATTTAGCACGATATTCCAGTTATAATTGTTAGAACTAATGATTCAATACATTAGTATAATTCAACAACACAAGACATAGCAGGACATCTAAATACGTTTTTAGGTCTTGTGGATTCTTGTCTGTGGATCCTATCAAATAAAAGAGGACTCGGGTGAATAAGTAAAAAAGTTATTGCCAAACTTGGATATAAATATTTTTTAATACCTGACAACCCAGGTTGTTCCGTTGCTAAGGTTATAGACCTGGATCTTCGCTTAAGACTTGGCGTTATTATGACATCGGTTTCCTGACACTGACAGTTGGCTAACCTCAATAAAATCGACCTAGGTCTTAAACCTTAGAACATAATATATAGTCAGGAAGGAGCATGCCATGTCCGCGTTAATCTAATCAATCTGAAAGAAGTGGTAGCCATGTTGTACTATGGATGACTCATCATCATATGATAAATGGTTTTTGAAATTGGTTCATAATTTTAGTGATTAAAATTTGTTAATAATTTGGATGTTTTATGTGTTAATTTAAACTTTTAGTAAAGTGTATATTTTGAAGACATTTTTAAAAAGTGTTTAGTGTTTTATTATTTAGTTAGTATTACTGTTAATTTTAAGTTTTCCGAGTTACAAGACAATAATGTCAGTTGTGAATATAGCAGCACAGCTAAAAGTAGAAAATCCAAAAACCTGTTTCAAACTTTAAATGACAAAAAAATATAATCATACTATTAAACAAATTTTTACCCTCCCATTTCCCCCCTTAAAATGTTAAAATGCAAAAATCCTGAAACACTTCATTATTTATTTATGATGAGAACCTACAATTCCAATTTTCAAGTTCCTGCTTTTAAAAAAAATCGATATTTCCAAATAAACTTTCACCCCCCGTTTCCCTCCCTTAAAATGTTAAAATCCAAAAACCTTAAAACATGTCTTTATTAATTTTTATTCAGTAGCCGCAATTCCAATTTTCATGTTTCTAACTTCAAAGCGAACAAAAAAAATCGATAGTCCCATACAAACTTTCGTTCCCCGTTTTCCCCCCTTAAAATATGAAAATCCAAAAACCCTGAAACACATCATTATTTATTTATTTATGCTTAGCAGCTGTAGTTAAATTTTTTATGTTTCTAACTTTAAAGAACAAAGAGTTTCATTAAAAGCTCCCTCCCCCATTTCTCCCCTTTAAAATTAAAATTTCCAAAAATCCTTTCTTAACGGATGCTTACGTTATAAAATACACCTATATTTTAAATTTCAGCTTTCTAGGCTCAGAAGTTTTGGCTGTACGTTGATAGGTCAGTCAGTCAGTCAGTCAAGACAAACAATTTTTTATATATATAGATATAGATTTCATCAGTATTTCTGATCACGTGTTTTACTTTTGATGTAAACCCTAATTCGTCTCCGGGTTTTAAGAAAATATCCGAAAATTCTTTAAATAATTTGGTAATTTGTTTTTTTCTTCTTAGTTCATATGATGAGTTCTGAGAAAATTTTATTTTTTTGTACATTATTATTAAAATTTTCGAATTTGAAAAATTCGTACTGGTTAGCATTAAGAACTTCTATAGGGTTTCTTAAAATTACTTTAATTGGTTTATTAGTACTATTTTGAACTTCTATAAAAGCAAAGCCTTCTTTGACTAAAGTCAATATTTGAGAAATAAATAATTCGTTAATATTTTGTTCATTTACCAAAATATCTCCATCACTAATATTTACTGTCAATTTTTTATTGCTTTTTCTTTTGAATCTAAAGAAATTACTTCATCAACTCGTTTATAATATTTAACAGGTATTTATTTATTTATTTATTTATTTATTTATTTATTTATTTATTTATTTATTTATTTATTTATTTATTTATTTATTTATTTATTTATTTATTTATTTATTTATTTATTTATTTATTTATTTATTTATTTATTTATTTATTTATTTATTTATTTATTTATTTATTTATTTATTTATTTATTTATTTATTTATTTATTTATTTATTTATTTATTTATTTATTTATTTATTTATTTATTTATTTATTTATTTATTTATTTATTTATTTATTTATTTATTTATTTATTTATTAAATACACTATTCTACAAGTAATACCCAATTACAGAATAGGAAAATATGACAAAAATATTTAGACGAAACGTACAAAAATGAAAAATATTACAGGAAATAAAGTACAATGATGGTTATTCTAAATAATGCCTTTTGATATCCTGAATACTAATGTGGAATATATCCAATTCCTGACTTATCTGATTATAATTATTACACATATTGTACAACGGTGAGTTCATTAAAATATTAGTACGAGGTGTTGGTAAGTAAAATGAGTCAGTATATCTTGAGGCTAGACGTGAAACTTTTAAATTAAGCATATGTAATAGACATTATGCAGCATAATTACAGAAAAATATTTTCGCCTTATATCGAGACTTGAAAATCCATTTCAATGTTATGACCTACTAACTTTTGTTCTGTCAGGTTTATATTCAAGTTTAAGTTTATCACATCTTTTAAACCTAATACGCCATCAAAAAAATGTATGAAAATCGTACATAATAAAGTCTATGTATTTATTATTAGAATTAAACTCTGCAAACGCTGGCACTAAAGCTTGATAATTAATCTGTTGACTTCCCATACTTGTGGATAAGATAAGTTCTGAATGGTAAATTGTTTGCGAAAATTTTTTTTTGCTATTGAAGGTTTTATTATTGACCTATAACTTCCTGTATTAATTAAGTTTTAGTTTAGGTTCGCGAATTTCGATATAAGGTAATGAATTGTTTGAAATATTGTGCAATTCCACTATCTTTTTGTTTTTAATAAGGAAGGTATCTGAAAATTTTGTTCAAGTCACCTTTTTTAATTGATTCATTTTCAAATTTAATATGATTAGGATTTTTAAAATGACCATGACGATAATCCTCATTGTTGTTATTTGAATTGGTATCAATGCAAAAATTAGAATGTAATTCTTCAAAAGTAAAATTTAATCTTGAATTATAATTTTGGAAATTTCTGTTATCATAAAATTGTCTTTTTGATTGGAAAGAAGGGTTTCTTGATGTCGTTGACATCGGTTCTGGTTTAGACAATTGGCTTTCTGGAATTTGGTTTGGCTTGAAAACATTTTTTGGTCTTAGTGGTCCAAAAACTTGTTTATTAGTAAAGTATTTTTTATTTAATTGTGGCATTGGTTGTACATTTATAGGTTGACAAGGAAAATTATCAAAATTAGTTTTGTATTGATTATTTACTGGATTTTGATTAAAATTTCTTTGATAATAATTATGATTTCTGTAATGGGAATTTTCAAAATTATGTCTGGGATAATTATTTGAAAATTTGATTATTTTGATAAAAATTTGGTTTGTAAAAATCATAATTTGGATTCATATTGTTAGCATTTCTATTCATATAGGAATTATTATTATTTCTCTGAAAATTTTAAAAATGTTCAGTGTTTTGTTTATTATAAAAAATTGAATTATGTTTTGACATGTTTCTTTAATATGAATTATTATTAAACAAGATTTAAAAATTTTCGAATTCGGAAACATAAGCAACAGCTTCTTTTAGCGATTCTGGCTTTTTCAGATGCATATTGTTTTTCATTGTTCCCCCGTACTTCCTACAACGAATGTATTTATGTTTTAGCATATTGATAACTTTGAATTACTGAGGCCCTTCCTATGAAGTACATGATCTCAAAACAGAAATAATTTATAATAAATGCGGGTAAAACGAGGGGTAAAATAACAACAAATTAAGGAAAATACTTAAAAAGGGCAGGTTTAAAGAGTATTATCACAAAAAAGTATATCCGTTCTGTTTATTTATTAAGTATTATTTAAGGTTACTTATGAATACATTTATTTATTTTTTAATTTCTGTAGGCAGTCTATTACATTTTTGCAAACCTTTAATAAAAATTGTATTTTGGTAACTTTTTGTGACGGCTTGCCGTAGATGA